GCGCCCGGGATCCGAACCAGCGAACCCCGGGCCGCCGCAGCGGAGCGCGCGCACTTAACCGCTTGCGCCACTGGGCCGGCCCCTCTTTTTTTTTTTTGAAAGCAAGAAAGTTTTGCAAGTCACTGTTTCTTTACTGACCAGATTACAAAAATAATCATGGTAGATACCTTAGTTCGTCCTTCTAATAAGCCTGTTGATCTAGTCTTCCCTGTTGCCAGCATCTCCACCTTCTACAAAATGGGTGGTCTTTTTCTTCATTCCACCTTGTGGAGAAGATAATTTGAAGGGCCACAGGAAGTTGTTTGCTTCTTTGAAATGTTTTCCAACAGTATAGATCTCATCAATCAGATCCTCCATGCAAATGGTACCATCTTTACCGAGAGATTGAGCAGTCAATGTGTTATCTGTCAGGGGAATGAGCTTGTTAATCTTGCCATACCCACACTTGTAGATCAGTGTATTTACTGACTTCAGGTCCAGGTACCCCCGTGCAGTATATGGTTCTGTAGTCCTCAGCATGCTAACTGAAGCTTCTTGAGCTCCACAAGGTGCCCTTGAAGATCTGGTGAGGGCGAAGAAGCTGCAGCACCTTCCAGACCTCTGGGCTCACACCGCTGATGCCTCTGATCCTGAGGACAAGTGCCGATGGGTTCCACAGGTGCATAGAGGTTGCCAGCTTTTCTTGCCGTCCTAGCCATTCGAATCTCTGTTCTGTACATCTGCCTATATTCCTTGTGGTAGTGCTTAGCTTTTTCATAGATAAGCTTCCTCCTTGCCTTTCGAAGCCTCTTTTGGGCAAACTTCTTTCTCAGGCGCTTGATCTTCAGCTCTGTGAAATTCCTTCGCTTTTTCTTTAAGAGTTTCTGGCACAGCAGAAACCTTCTTTCTCTTCTCTTCTGCACCCTCCATGGTTCCAGCTGGAAAAGAGGAAGTTGGTGCATATGCACCGTCCACTTAAAGACGGCGAGCCTCTAAATTGGTCTTCTAAAGGAACAATTACTGGTAGTAAACATAGAAGAAATGGAGGATTGAGGAAGAAATGGATTTATGATTATGGTTCTCAGAACCTCTGAGAATATGGCCTTACTAATGCTAAGTTTGATTCAAGAGCCAGGAGAACTTAATTATATTGTAAATCTTCCATTAAATGGAAGTATACAGATTTTAATGTAAATTCTTAACAGATGGTGAATTGTTTGGCAGCCAGTAATAGAAGTATAAAAAACACTAGTTTAAGCAAGTTAGAGGTTTTATTTTTCTTAAATAAATATGTAGTAGGGAGGCCAGTGCTGCTATGGCAGCTCTCTGGTGTCATTTGGGATCTCTGTGCTCTAATATCTTTAGCATATGGCTTCCATTCTAAGGGTGCCTCACGATTACAAATTGACTGTTGCAGCTCCAGTCATAACCTCTGTGTTCTAAGAAAGAAGAAGGGCAGGAGGGAGTCTATTACTTGAGTCTACCCTCAACCTTGTAAGGAGCTTTCCTAGAAGCCATATCCATCAGCTTAGCTTCTTTCTTTCTTCAGAACTTATTTAGCCATCCCAGTCTACAAGGAGGTCTGAGAAGTGCTTTTCCTCAGGGCCTGTTGCTCCTCCTGTGATTGGTCTCTGCTCTGGGAGGAAAGCAGAGGGAGGATGGATACTGGCCAGGTGACCTGTGTGCTTGCCATCATGATGTGACCACACGTCTGAAGACAGTGGCAAAATGAGAATTCACCTGTTTTCACACCTCTGGCTGGATCCTGCCTGTGTGGAGTGTCATGCGTGTGAGGGAGCAGCGGGCCGGGGAAGGGCTGTGTCGGGAGGCCTGCCGTGTGTCCTGCTCTGTGTTGCTGTCGGGTTTCTCTGTCTGTGGGTGAACACATAGGAAGCTGTGTGAGGGGTCTCGCTGGTCTTCTCCCACAAGTGTAACCCGGGGCTTCCCACCTCATGTAAACAGTTCTTTCTCATTCTAGTCTAAAGGTGTGATAGAGAAAATTTGGAAGATATTCATGGGACTTTTCACAATCCTATCAGATTAACCTGATTATTGCTAACATTTAGTGTATTTTCATTTAACTTTTAACCCATGTTTCTATATGATTTCACACTCAATATTGTATCCTCCATCGCTCCCTGCCGTTTTCTCACCGTCTTCATAACCCTCATTTTAATGGCCGTATAGTCATCTGTCCTGTGGATATTTCTGGTCTGTTTACCACTTCCACTGTTTTTAGACATTTACTTTTGTTTCCAATTTCTTGGTTTTATAGTAAATAATATAAAGTAATCTTTGCATGTACCGTTTTTCTGTATTTCGAGCATTTTTTATTTAAAAAGAGCTACAGTGTTTAATTTGGGGTCCGGAAGTATTAATAATTTTGTGAGTCTTTAGCAAACCATTGCACACCACCGTCCTCAGTGCACAGGAGGGTCACTGTATTTGTATTCTTGTCAGCATTGATTAATATCATTTTTGATTATTTGATGGATTAAAAATTCACCTTGTTAATTTGCATTTTTGATAACTTTGACCTTAAAGATTTTTCACGTTTATTAGTTGTATTTCCTCTTGTGCATTGGCTGTTCATGTCCTATGTGTACATATAAATGTTTTATTGCTTTTCTTATTGCTATAATTTCTATAAACTTTTTTCGTAAAATTTTTTTTGTGATAAAATGTACATACCATAAAACTTACCATTTTAGCCATTTTTGAATATGCAATTTGGTGGCATTGAGTACATTCACATTGTTGTGCAGCCATCACCACCATCCATCTCCAGAACTTTTTCATCTTCCCAAACTGAAACGCTGTCCCTATTAAACACTAACTCCCCCTTTCCCCTCCAGGCCGCTGGCTCCCACCGTCCTGCTCTCTGTCTCTATCAATTTGACTCCTCTAGGTCCTCACATAAGTGGAGTCCTGAGTATTTGTCCTTTTGTGACTGGCTTATTTCACTGAACATAACATCTTCAAGGTTCATCAGTGTAGCGTGTGTCAGAATTTCCTTTCTTTTTAGGGCTGAATAATATTCTGTCGTAAGTAGGTACCACATTTTGTTTATTCTGTGAACTCTTTCGTATGATAGATAGGAAGCTTTTGTCAGCAGCAAATTTTTTTTCTCAGTTCATTTTTTTTGCCTTTGTAGGTTATATTTTGCACATCTATAACTTTAAATTTTTGTGTAATAAACCTCTTTTCCTTTGATGTTTATACTTAATCTTCATCCATCTGGGATTTGTCTGGAACATCATTTGATGCTGGACTTAAACCCGGGGAGACTCGGGAGCCCGGTCAGTCTAATTCCCGTTGGGAACGTCCTCCTGTGGGCTCATTTTTTGCTTGAGACCAAACAGGCCGCTCCTAGCTGCGGGCAGGAGACATTCCTGACTGTGCCCTTGCTTTGCGTACCTTTCCACCTGGCTCTCTTGATCCTTTTCCCCTCCACTCAGTTTAAATGCTTTGTTTATGAAGTTAACTTAATATTAAGGTGCTTGGATTCCTATTCAGGGTGAGAAAAAATGTCACAGATCCCTTTAGTTCATATACGAGAGACATTGTTGATAATTACAGTGGACTTGACTGAGCACTCGCTGTGCACGCAGCCCGTAACCCTGCCCAAGTATTTACATGCATTCACTCCTTTATCTAGTTCCACCCACACCCCTGCGATAGGTAGTTATTAGGCCCACTTTTCAGATTGGTAGGAGGTACCTTAAGAGAGAGATTGTAGCCAATGCTGTTGGAACCTGCAGCTGTTCCTCATGTGCTTTAAATGAAAGAAATGTAAAATAGTAATTGCTAACACTTATAGTGCTAACTGTGCAAGTTTAATCTCAACCCCTTGAGGTAGGCACATTAAAATAAGTGATATGTTGTTGAGTGACTTTCAGTTCTCTTTTGAGCATGACTTCATTATTTCTCTCCCATCTTTTAAGACTGCTTTCTCTCTCTCATCCAGGGAATACATTCATTCTAATGAAAATGATGAAACCTTACTCGGGGTGCTATGTTTGAGCTTTGCATCACTAGCTACATAAGAGTCCAGACTAAAGCAGGCCGCTAGTTGATAGCCAGATTTGTTTGTTTGACGAAATAATACACAGCACAGAATTCAGAAGGTGCAGAAGGATGTCCAGGGCAAGTACGCCTCGTCCTGCCTCTGTTCTGCCTCCCGGATCCCCTTCCCAGAGGAAACCACCTTTACCAGTTCTTAACCAGTTAATGGTTCATCTTGCCAGACATAACTGTGTGCAGACGTGTGGAGTCTACATAAACTTTGGTTGTATATAAATGGTAACAAAATATGCATACTGTTATACGCCTTGTTTTTTTATTAAAAAAATTGTGGGCCAGCCCCGGTGGCCTGGTGGTTAAGTTCAGCGTGCTCTGCTTTGGCGGTCTGGATTCAGTTCCTGGGTGCGAACCTATACCACTCGTCTGTCAGTGGCCATGCTGTGGTGGCGGCTCACATACAAAAAGAGGAAGATTGGTGACAGATGTTAGCTCAGGGTGAATCTTCCTCAGCAAAAAAAAAAAAAAAGAAAAAAAAATTGTGGTAAAAACCTAATAGCAAGTTTACCCTCCTGACCATTTTTAAGTGTGTAGTTCAGTAATGTTAACTGTATTCACATTGCTGTGTAAGAGATCTCTAGGAATTTTCTATCTTGCAGAACCGAAGCAATAGAGATTGTCATAGAGACTGTTTCATATCAGCACATATAGAGCTCATCCTTTTTAATTGCTGCGAAGTATAGTTTATGGATGTGGCATAATTGATTTAATCAGCTCCTTAATGATGGGTGTTCAGGTTGTTTCTGATCTTCTACTACTTACAGACAGTGCTGACTTCTGACTTTTTGAGGCACCTGGTTTTAGATGGGTCTCTTGCAGTAGAATGTGATTTGATTTTGTTTTATGGTCTTAGCTGAGAGACATTTTAGTCGGTGAGTTTCTCACTTGTACTTGCTAATGATTTTAGTAATAATAACTCACCTTCATCGAGCACATTCCATGTGCCAGGTGCTGCTATAAGCGCTGACTCCCTTCACATTTCTAGCCCTGTGGGGTGGGGGTGCTGATTACGTGCAGAGAGAGAAAGTCACTTTCCAAACTTAGTAAAATCGCAGGCTGGGATTTGACCCCGCTGATTGGACTCCAGAGCTCTCATTTTAACCGTGCTGCTGTGGCGTGCTGGGGGGGCGTGCTGGGGGTGGCGTGCTGAGGGGGCATGTTGGGGTGGCGTGCTTGTGTGGCGTGCTGAGGGGGCGTGCTTGTATGGCGTGCTGGGGGGGCGTGCTGGGGGGCATGCTGGGGTGGCATGCTGGGGGTGTGTGCTGGGGTGGTGTGCTGGGGTGGCGTGCTTGTGTGGCGTGCTGGGGGGGCGTGCTGGGGGTGGCGTGCTGAGGGGGCATGTTGGGGTGGCGTGCTTGTGTGGCGTGCTGAGGGGGCGTGCTTGTATGGCGTGCTGGGGGGGCGTGCTGGGGAGCATGCTTGTGTGGCATGCTGTGGGGGCATGCTGGGGTGGTGTGCTGCGGTGACAGGCATGCTTGGTCTTAGTCCAGCAATTTTACTTTATGTTATGCTTTTGTTTTTAATATATTTTATTTATGTATTAATATTTTTAAACTCAGGCTTGGTTTTCTCTTTGTATTGGGTGTGTGTTCTTTCTAATAATTTGGTATTTTTTTTTTACATATTTTAATTTAACTATACTTTTATATAATACATTTACCCAGTATTTGTTTAGGGGTGATTAACTACTTTCTGCTGTGATTAGTGACCAAGTGGGTACATTTCCACATTTTCTTTGCTCCTCTTCCTTTCCTCTGCCACCTGCTTTTGATTGATTATGCTACTAAACTGATTCTCATTTTAACATTTATAAATTTATGTATAGTAGTGCCTCTAATACTTTATCAGTTTAAAACAATACCTTTTGATTCCATGATAAGAGGGTATCAGTATCTTTATAGTCGCTCCTTCTTTCCGTCTGCACCTCTCAACTTGATATTATTTCTGTTTTAATTTATAACATTTACATTCTGTTCTATAACTGTAATTCCCAGAAAAGAAAACTCTTTAGTCTTACATGTTAAACGGATTAATTACTCACTGTACGACTTTGCTGTACTTCGTGCTTTCTTCTTGTTTGGCTAAAGTTTATCTTCTAATAGTTAATTCATGAAGGGCTCATGGAAACCAAATTCTCCAAGTTCTTATATATTTAAAGGTGTTGTACTTTTGCAACATACGTGATTGACAGTGCGTCGAGATGTAGAATTCTCCGGTCAGACCTTTCTGCCCTGAAGACTCTGTAAGTATGGTCCCCGGTACAGTGTTAGAGTGTCTGTGCTGACGGCCGAGGCTGGCTGTACTCTTTCCAATTTAAGGGTGTCTGCGCTTGAACTGCCGTAACAAAATACCACAGGCTGGGTGGCTTAGACAACAGACATTTGTTTTCTCACAATTCTGGAGGCTTTAGATGGAAGGTCCAGGTGCCGGCAGAGTTGGTTTCTGGTGAGGCCTCTCCTCCTGGCTTGCAGATAGCCGCCTTCTCGCTGTGTCCTCACACAGCCTTTCCTCTGTTTGCGTGTGTTCCTCTGGTGTCTTTTCCTTTTCTTATAAAGACGTTAGTCCTGTCGAATTAGGGCCCCACCCTTATGACTTCATTTAGCTTTAATTACCTCCCTAGAGGCCCCGTCTCCAAATACAGTCACACTGGGGGTTGGGGCTTCAACATAGGAATTTTAGGGGGGCACAGTTCAGTCCTTAACAAAGGGTAAAGTGGACTTTTTTGTCAGGAGGCCCAGAGAATTTTTATTCATTCTTTTTTTTTTTGCAGCTTTAAATACGTGATGTGTATCCATATTTATTGACATGGAAAAATGTCCACAACATATTGCTGAATGACAAAAAGCAGGTTTATTTATTCTTTTAATCTTTCTGTAATCCTGTCATTTCCTCCTGTTTGATAATGGTTATTATTTTAAAATAGATATTTGAATTTTTTGAAATGTCTTTGGTCATGATTTCCATCTGCTTTGTTTTTATATTTTTCTGGGTGTATGTTTTTTGTCTGCCATTTGTTTTTCTCTTACTTTTCTCTCTCCCCTCTGTTTCTTTTAGTATTTTCATGTGGCCTTTCGCTGGTTTCTTTGTGCTCTTTCCTCATCTTTGAATGAGGAGAATTCTTCCTGGCGTAGCCGTGTGCAAGAGTTTAGGCCTGGGGGCAGGGCAGTGTCTGGGTGAAGCTGCTTCTGCCCTGGATTTTTCTGCCTTGCAGCTGATGGCAGGGGTGTTTCGTCTAACCTTGCCTCCTGTGCTCAGATGGCAGGTGGGGACTGGGGAGGCTTCTGCAGCCGCTCTGCTCACACTGATCTTCTTGTTCCAAGCGTGGCCTACTGCTTTTGCTCTTCTTTGGAGAACTGTGATTCGCCTGAGATCTGAAGTCCCTGGTATTCTCTTTTGGTGTCCTCACTCGTCTTGGTTGAGTTTTTACTGCCCTTGGCAAATTGCTGCAGGTCTGTTCAGTTTCAGGGTGTTAGTGTTATGTTATCGAGGATGGTTTCCTTTTCTGTAACTTGTTCTTGTTTTGGGGTGGTTAATTAGAGCAGAAGTGTTTTGAGAGGTCTTAACTCTAAAGCTTTTAAGACCTACAGCCAGATTTCTTTAATTAATCACTCTGAGTGTACTCTATCTGTAAAATCAGGGAGTGGTACAGCATTCTGATTAACATGCTTTTAGGTTAACTTTTTTTAATTCTAATGTAATTACGTGAAATTTGGGTGAACACTAAATATAGTGAATGTTTGTTTTCTTACAGACAGAACCTCCACTGAATACACCGGAAAATAGAGAATATCTTGCAGAAATTATGTTTGAGTCATTTAATGTACCAGGACTCTACATTGCAGTTCAGGTAAAAACAAAGTGATTTTTATGATTCCCGAAAGACCTTAGCCATCTAATAGTGGAAGAAATGGTGATTCCAGAGGCTGTTTGTTGTGAGATTGTGCTGTGTGGTCTTCCTTTTCCCACTCCCTCAACACACACACACACATGCGCGCATACACACGCGCGCACACACATAACACGTGCACACATACACACACATACACACGCGTGCACACATACACACGCGCGCGCACACACACACATGCGCGCACATACACACACGTGCACACATACACACGCGCGCACACACACACGTATACACACCCACCCTGTTCAGGTTCAGACTCAAACACTGTAGAGAATGTGTTCAATGGTTTATGTTTTTATATTTATCCTGCTGGTATAAAATTTGTCTGGCTTTGTCTTTTTATATGCATTAAAATCTAAAGTAGTTTTCTCTGGGTAATGAGATCAAGATGTAAAGTGAAAGGCTTCTTTCACTTCTGATCATAAAAATGAAAAGATACTGTAGAATCTGTTAAAAAACAAAATAAATACCTTTAGAGGGTTCCCCCTTATGGCTTTTGGGCTCCTGTGGTTCCACGAGCTTACAGAACTTCCTCTGAAGCTACTTCTTCTTAGTGTGGGGGTTTTTGTTGGTTTTGGTGGTGGTTGTAGCTCTGCCACCCCATGTAAGGGAACTGCCTGAAATTTTGGGGAATGAATGAGATAGGTGTTTCCCAAAATGTTTTCTGTATAATACTAGTTCCTTACTCTTGAGAAAAAGGAGGAGTTGCAAAGAAAAATAAATTGGGAGATGCCCCATGCTGTAGCCTCCGTTGATGATTCACTGTGTGTAGCAGCATAGTAAAGGCTCTGAGAATGCCTGCATTGAAGAAATCTGTTTATTCCCAAACTTCCAAATTTTATTAACCAGAAATAATCCCCCTCCCCTAGGTTATTTATATTCCATGGAATAGAGAGACACTTTAGAAAACACTGGACCAGTGGTCCTCGAAGTGGTCTATGCATCAAGGTCACCTGGAGAGTGTTTTCTGAAAGTACAGATTCTCAGGCTTCATCTGAGACCAAGGTTTTCCAACCTCAGAACTGTGGGTTGGGTAGTTCTTTATGATGGGGGCCTTCCTGTGCGGTGTGGGATGTTTAGCAGCGTCTCTGGCCTCTACCCACTAGAAGAAGCACCACTCCCAGCCTCCCCTCCCCCAAGTGTGACAATCAGAAATGGCACCAGACATTGCCAGATGTCCCCTGGCGGGCAGAAAGGTTGAGGACCACTAACCTTGTCCTTACCAGATTAGAATTTCTGGGTGTGAGGCCTAGTAATCTGTCCTTTTAGAGACTCCACAAGTGATCTTACTGCAGCCCGTCTGTGGACCCAGAGTGGGAACCAGTGGGTTAGAAATTAAAATCTTCTGATTCCATAATAAAATTCCTTTCTCGTTGGCTTTTCTTTGTAAAAATTTAATTTATTTTATTGAAAACTTGACTCCTGCAGTTTAAGTATACTAAATTTGTGTGTTAGTTGTTCATTTTGGAATTTGAATTTTAGGGGGAAGATGCAGGCTAGGGAAGGGAAAGAGTTACTCAGACTTATTAAGAAAGAAAGAGCTGATTGAACCTGAGAACAAATAGGCAGAATACTCAAGAAAAATTTCCCTGTGTGATGACAGTTTCTTTGTCTTTCGTCCAGGCAGTGCTGGCCTTAGCGGCGTCTTGGACGTCTCGACAAGTTGGCGAACGTACGCTAACGGGGATCGTCATTGACAGCGGGGATGGGGTCACCCACGCTATCCCAGTGGTAAGCGGAATATTCAGTGCTTCACTCTCTGTAGGCCTCACCTGACTTGAGGTAAGGGAAGAAATTAGGAAAAAACCCTTCTATAACTAAAATCACTTGAAATGATTTTGAGATACGACTACTTTAACGTCATATCTCTACTTAGAAAAGGTAACAAGAGGGCCGGCTCTGTGGCTTGGCGGTTAAGTGCGCGCGCTCTGATGCTGGCGACCCGGGTTCGGATCCCGGGAGCGCCCCGAGGCACCACTTCTCCGTCCAACGCGAGGCCGAGTCCCACGTACAGCAACTAGAAGGATGTGAACCTATGACATACAACTATCTACTGGGGCTTTGGGGGGAAAAAACTGAATAAATAAAATCTTTAAAAAAAAAAAAAAAAGGTAACAAGAGTTTTGTTTTCTTTTTTTTTTTTTTGAGGAAGATCAGCCCTGAGCTAACATCCGTGCTAATCCTCCTCTTTTTGCTGAGGAAGACCGGCTCTGAGCTAACATCTATTGCCAGTCTTCCTCCTTTTTTTCCCCAAAGCCCCAGTAGATAGTTGTAGGTCATAGCTGCACATCCTTCTAGTTGCTGTATGTGGGACGCGGCCTCAGCATGGCCAGAGAAGTGGTGTGTCGGTGCGCGCCTGGGATCTGAACCTGGGCTGCCAGTAGCGGAGCACGTGGACTTAACCGCTAAGCCATGGGGCCAGCCCGGTAATAAGAGTTTTTAAACCCAGATAGATGAGAAGGAAAAATATGCCCAATATCCGTGGCATTGGTGATTTTAAATTCACACTGGCACATTTCAGTAGTTGGGACATCAGCAGTTGTTTGGGGTCTCCGGGGGCTCTGCCTGATCCCCTGGTGTCCCACCACCAGGAGGGTGTCCCTGGCTTACATTCTGAGCTGTCGGGATAGGCATCATCTTGGATATCAGATTTGTAGGTGTGGTGCACTACCACTTGAAGGATTATCTCTGTGTTCTGTGACAAGATGTGGATAGCTTTAACCAGCTCATGCTTTAGAGAAATGCTTCTTCTTTTTTAAAACTTATTTAAGATCCAAGAAGGAGAGATTGTACGTTTTGACTTGCAGAATTCTCTGCAGTGTCACTTTTTGGTTTTAATTTTCAAAATATTAGAGACATGATTCTGAATTCCGGCTTCAAGAGACATCTGTATTTTTATTTTGGTCCAATGGAACTGTGTATTTAAATGTTATTTAAAGTTTGTTTTTTTGAAAATTAATTGAAACTGTCCAAAGAGGATTATACAGTGGAAGGTCAGACTTGCTCTCGTTCCTGAGCTTCCCCCTGCAGATCCCCTTCTCAGAGGCAACCCTGTTACTAGTTATTTATGTATATTACAAGTGCATTTTCTGCGTATATGATATGTGTGTGTGTGTGTGTAGCTCCTTTTTAAAATGCAAACTAAAGTTTTTTTTAAACAATTCATTTTCTTTAATTGAAAAAATCGTCACCATTTCATTTCTGGAAGTTGGAGGAATGATGACTAATATGCCAATGATTTAATTCCTTCGAGGTTAGAAATCACTGAAGGGGAAGGATTAACAGTTGATGTGCTGACAGACAGGAAGGGAAAAACCAGATTCCACCAGGCCCCATCCTTGTGGCCCTGACAGTGTGCCCTTTGCACGGGGATGGAGATAAGGAGAGACGGGCAGGTGTGAGTGACGCCCTGCAGAGTGTTCTCCGTTCTCAGAGCACCTTCAAGCCAGTCTCAAAACACTGCCTCCTTTTGTTGGTCCCTGAGAAGTTAGTGCCACGTGACATGTGACACTGATGGGGAGAGTCAGGCGTCTAGCTTCCTCTCTGAGGTCGTACCCGAGAAGACCACTGCAGACAAGATCCAGGGAGGGGGCTGGTGGGCCCTGCTCCCTTGCCTGTGCCGTGTGTCTGATGGAGGAGAGGAAAGAAAACAAATTTCACAGTGTGTACAGGCCCACAGAGAAGGTTGTTTTTAAAATTTTTATCTGTATCTTAGTTCAGTTATTTTCTTGATTATAAAAATTACATTTGTTGTACAAAATTTGGATAAAATAGGAAAATGTGAATAAGAAAATAAAATGATCCGTAAACCTGCCCAGAGAACTGTGTTGTTATCCTTTTGGTTGTATAGCCTTCTAAGCTCTTTTTCTTAGACACACACGTGTACATGTTTTAAGCAAAATTGGAATATTCTATGTCTGGTTTTGTATTCTAATTGTATAATATAATCCTAAATTTATATTTTGAGTATTGATTTATCTCTATTTTTTCTTATGGTTAAATATTCTGTGAAAAAAAATTTAATAAGTATATAATAGCCCATCATGTGGATATAGCATAATTCACTGATTTACTTTCCGTTGGACATGTGGGTGGTTTTAATGTTTTTCATGCTGTGATGAAGCTGATACTTATTTAACACTGGTTGAATTAATTGTAGAATATGTTATATGTAATGCATAGAATATAATAATTGTGCATAGTTTGTGTTAGAGAGCTAATAGTCTAATGAATTTGTTGATCTTTACTATTTTAATAATTTGTGCATATCTTTTATCTCCATCTTAAAATATTTTACAAATAACTTGGACTCTGTGGAAAGGCCAAATCTTCTCTTACTTCTAGAAGTTAGGTACATCAGAAAACACATACGAGGAATTCAGTAATTTGTCCTTGCAGCTTAGCTGGTGCCTCTGTCCAGTGCTTGTAATCCTTCGGTGGAGTGCAGTCAGCACTTCCCTTCGTTCCCGCTCTCACTGGACATGTGGCACGGAGGCCAGTGCTGTAACATGAAAGACCGAGTCTCTTCTCTATCTGATGAAACGTGGTAGGAGTTACCCGCTCTGACTGGCAGCCCCCGTAGAGCACACTGGATTGTGCCCAGGCCTGTGGCTTCCGTGGTGAGTTGTGCCCACAGGAAGGTGGTGAGGGGGCCTCAGGCCGAGCTGCGTGCTGCAGGCGTGTGAACTCTTGGTCCTGGCCCGCTGGTGGTCGGCTGCAGCTCCTTTCCTGGCACTGGCCGACAGGCTTCACTGGCTCGGGAAGGCAGCCGAGTGGAAGGATCCCGACTCCTGGCCAGCGCTGGTCTCAGATAGCATACTGTTCAGGTTAACTTTTCAGAATTATTCCTGACAAGTACGGCTCTTAATACCATAAATGGAACCATTTATTGAGTAGTTTGTACATGCCAAAACCAGTGCTCTGTGCCTGACCTGCTGCGTTTCAGTAATTCTGTATTGTAAACCCCTGGGGTATTACTGCCCCATATTATGGATGAAGCTGCTGAGGCCAAAACACGGTAACAGACTTGTTCACAGTCCCTCAGCTGACGGAGGTGGAACCGGGGTTTGAATCCAGCGTGTTAGAGTCTAAGTCCTGCGTACCTAACCAAATTGTTGACTTTTAACTATAAGTAGATTTATAGTTGGTTTAACAACTTATGGATAAAACTTTTCCTTTTTGTTAGAGGAACAAACAATGCGATTGGATTCGGTGTTCTGACAGACAGCATTGCTTTCTGGAAATGAACTGTCCTGAGTGGTTTTTCTCTTCCCGTTGCTCGTGAAAGCGTCATTTTGGTTGCTTATGGGGGTCTACGGTTATAGTAATGGCATTGCGCGTGCAGTCATTTTAAAAGGCCTCCAGTTCTGAGCTTTGCAGAGTGGGGCTCAGGAAATGCTTGTGAATGCTGTGAGGGGCAGGCATCTCACTGAGAGTCCGGGGAGCTCTTCCCCGCCGGAGTTACTCACACGGGTCCTTCTGTTCCTCTTCTCCCCAGGCAGAAGGTTATGTAATTGGAAGCTGCATCAAACACATCCCGATTGCAGGTAGAGATATTACGTATTTCATTCAACAGCTGCTAAGGGAGAGGGAGGTGGGAATCCCTCCTGAGCAGTCACTGGAGACGGCAAAAGCCATTAAGGTAAAAACAGACGGGAAATGGGTCGGTTTGGGGATGAGAGCGAAATGGTGTTGGGACACTTCCCCTTCTGCCCTCACCCTGCTCCCACCTTCCTTCCTCTCCCCTCCCCGAGAATGTGGGTCTTGATCTGTTCACCACTTGAGGTAAGGGGCTGAAGGACTAAAGTTTAGCCTCTTCCTCGGAACGTAAATGCCTGTGGAGGTTCCAGCTGTAAATGAGAACAGCCTGATGGCCGGTGTTGAGCGCCAGCGTGCGTGTACAGCATACTTTAATTGAGGCCTAATTAGAGAGGACCTTCAGTTAACTGAACGTGTCTTCCACGTCTCCCTCCGTGCTTCATTTCTAGAACAGGGAGCAAACTGCAGCAGCAACAGTGATGGCTAGGAATCCTGTAAAGTCACCAGTATTCTAAGTAATTTCCAGTACCAGTTGTGTGTGGTTCTGTCCCCTGCGAATTACATTTGAGAATAATGCTGTTCTAAGATCCAGAATCACTAAACAAAATCCACCTGTAGTTTCTAGACTCTAGTTACCATGCTAGAAAAGTTATAGGAAGTTTTAAAATTAAATCAATAAGATTAGGAGAAAAATGGCTGTTGGTCCTGATTTAAAATGTTCACTTGACTGGCCATCAGTTTAGTCTCTGTATTACTCTATACGTAGCATTTGACCTTTTTTAAAGGAACTTTTCTTTTCAGGTGGCAAAATCAGGACAAATGATTATTTTTTGTCAGATTGCAAGAGATTCTTAGTAATGCAGGGATAATTATTGTATAGATGAAGAGGGAAGGATTTTGTTTGTTTTTGGAGAATTTAAGTGTGGGATGTGACATGTGACCTCGAGCATATCCTTTCTTGTAGAACGCAGTTTTTAAGCTGCAGAGGAGTTTAAGGGGAGGCGAACCTAACACCCTCTCAGCCCCCCTCCCCGCTTTTCTCCCGTCTAGGCACCTAGTAGCCGAGCCTGGTTGAAGCAAAGGAAGCATCAGAGATGACTCCCCCGTTTTGCATGACACTCTTGGTAAAAACAGGTGTTTTTAGGACAGGGTGCACTGGTGTAGGTCAGGGCTCCTGCGAGTGGCGTGCAGCTGCTCTGGTGTTCCTGGGACTGGAGTTTCCAGGGAGAGGGCAGTCCAGGGCACACTGGAAGAGTTGGTCCTTTTCCTCTGGGGAAACTTTATAGAAGTATCATAAGACTTTGTTTTTAGACTGAAATATTTGCCAAGATTTTCCCTCTTCTTTCCTTGCCTTTCTTCAATGAAAGAAATTTGGATATTTGATCCAAGCTCCCTCGCCACCCCAGATCTGTTACAAATGTGAATCAGAATTGAACCTCTTGTTCCCAATGCTCAGGGGTCGATCTGGTGAGCAAGTGTTCCCTTTTCAGTAAAGATTCCTGAGTGTGATGACTTGTGAGTTGCTCTCCTGGTCCTGTCGGTGGCATTTACTTGACTCACTGGCTCTCTGGGGTCCAATTCTGACCCTGAAATCGGAGCTGGCCCGTTCAGCTGTGAAGAGACTCCTTTTATACTCGCCAGATCGGCTTCACTGACCCTGCTGTGGGGGTTAGCCCCGCTGTTAGTGCTCGTCTCACTTCTTTCTGTAGAGAGATCCTGGAAAGAGTGGTTTCGAGTTACCTCTGCATCTTGTTACCACCGTGGCCGTCTCCTGTGGTCTTGAGCAGGCCTGAGGCTGTGTAGATCATGGTTCACACCAGCCTTGCTGCATGAGCCCAGAACTTAAGACTAATACTGCTGCACTCCACCTGACTTTATTGAGGCATTTCCTGCCATCAGTTAAGCCAGTGGAGGTGCCGTAAGAAATTGACCGGGCCTCTAAGGACAGCTTAATGTTTTTGTCTCCAGCCTGGTAGATTTATAAAGTTGTATGGACTGACTCTCTATTATCAGGGAACACAGAGTTGTGTAACAAATCTTGCCCAGTAGTCTTATAATTCTGCTGGAGTTTATCAAGGATGGTATTAGAATGTTTCAGGGATTCTAGGTAACTTTTAATATCACGAAAACACCTTCAGAGTTCCTTTCAAAATGTGTTATGAGTGCCACCTGTGTGCCTGACACAGTGCCAGGTGTTGAGCAGAGCCCGCCTGGCTCTTGCCTGCAGGAAGCTTACTTTCAGAAGCTGGCGTCCAAGTGCCACCTGCTGCTTTGCTGAGGTTAGGTCTAAGGACAGATGATCGACCCACAGATCCCCAATTAAGCATCACCTGATGCTGCAGAAGCGCTTCGCACGTCTCAGGCTGGTTGCTGGTGCCAAGGTGAAAACCATCAGCAAGTTCTCTTGCAGGAGCAACTCCAGTCGGCAACTCCAGTCCTCCTACCTAAGTCTGCCTTTGCTTTTTCCCATGGTCCCTACCACCTTAGAACGTGCCATGTCATTTACATATTTATTATGGTTGTTGCTTACTGTCTGACTCTCAGGCAAAGCATATGCTGCAGTGGGCAGGGATCTGTGTGTGTTTTGTTCACTTGTGCATCCCACGTGCCTAGGCACTTAATAAATCCTTGTCGTGGAGCCCATGACTCTGCTGTGTCCAACTGCACAGCAGGTTAATGAACAGCTGATAGAGTGTGGTGGGCATCAGGATGTAGTCTACCACATTCAGTGGATTGGGCCATGTGCAGGTCTGCTGGTCCACAGTGGATGGCAGTGAGTGCCTGGGCAGGTGTCATGTGGGGGCTAAGAGGAATAAGGAAAGAGGAGATGGAGACATGATACTTAGTAGACATCTTTAGACAATATTTCAGATAATACGTCAAAAAATTTGATAGAGTAAGGCTGAGATTAATAGCCAGGTTGCAAAGAAAGCAGATTTAATGTCCAAAATCAGCGCGTAGTCATGTCTACTACGAAAGATGAGAAAATATGAGGCTTGATATGGTGTGTGGGCAGGACTCATTTCAGGGGTGTGTTTAATGCTTGGGGTTACTAAGTATTTGCCAGAGGGAAGAGACTCTGGGTAGTTGTTAATGCCTGGTGACGTCTTTGTGTGCAGGAGAAATACTGTTACATTTGCCCTGATATAGTCAAGGAATTTGCCAAGTATGACGTGGATCCCCGGAAGTGGGTCAAACAGTACACGGGTATTAATGCGATCAACCAGAAGAAGTTCATCATAGATGTTGGCTACGAAAGGTTCCTGGGACCTGAAATTTTCTTTCATCCAGAGGTAAGATGTTTGCTTTTTGAGTGTGCTGAGGTACGGCATATACGGAGCGATACTGCCACCTGGTGTGCATAAGGATCAGTTGGTCACTGAGCAAGATGATCGCCTTTCAGTGAGGATGGCTGGTGTGCATCGCTCTGCAGACTGGTACAGCCCCTGTGCGTTGTCTGCTTGATTGACCGTTTCCGTTTGCCTCTCCAGAGACTTGATTATCTGTTAAAATAGTTAACGACTGATGATATCACGAGTGGTTAGGAAGAAGTTTTAAGAGCACTAGAAGATAATGGAATTGAAATTAATCTCATACTAACATGAACACTAGTTAACCTCAGGGGCCAAATGAAAGTTGCCTCTGTATAAAAGGGGATAACATATAACCTTTCCATCTTTTGTGATCGTCCTTCCTAATCCCACTTGTTAGCCGAGCACAGTTGGTCCTGCTGTGTTCCCTGCTGCAAGTTAGTTAAAGCTTCTGTCTGAGGACCAGCCTTTCCATTAGTCAGTCTTTAGGAATTACAGATATTGTCATTTTAACCAGTAATCAGAAAGAATTAGTACTACTTTTGCAGAAGCAGTAATTAAGAGGCAACATTTTAAGGTTTAAATAAAATGCATTTTATTTGTATTTTCCTGGTTAATTCAGTTTATATTTAATAGGTAGGTTACAAACTGCTGCCTATTTTTAGATGCGTATGTGACTATTTTGTACACAGGAGGCACAGAATGTATGCCTTACTGTAATCTAATATCATACTTATTCACTCGTGCCTTTGATATTACTGATTTAAAATAGACGTAAAACCGACAATGTCTGGCTGGTGAGCAACTGGGTGTTACCTTCTTCTTCCCTCCAGACTACTGTACCTTAAAGCTTTCCTTGATTTTTAAAACATATTTCAAATGTAATGTAATTGAATTATTTATACTTTAGCTTATTTAACTTATAGAATTGAATCTAAGGCTGTTTGCTCAGTAACATGATAGTTATCATGTTGATTGTTTCGTTTTAAAGCCACCAGCGTCACATCCCCCTCCCCCCAGTCTTCTAGCCCAGGTTACAGTGGTTTTTCATTGATTTTTTTTTTCTTATATCCTGGCTAATTTTTTCATAATACTAATATTCATAAGTGATATACTCAGCGTTTCTCATTACATATCATATACATCGTGTACATGCTTTTTACAGTCTCTTATTGGCATGATTCACTGCGTGTTCATAACGCAGTGGCCTTTGTTACTGTTTATTTTTCCTTCTCAAAACCCACACATTTCATCTCTTGAGGGGACATATGTTATCATCACTCCATGCACACATAGTCGCATGGGATTCATTTGACGTGTCTTTCATTCCAGTGTGGAGCTTTTAAAGGTATAGTAAATTCTGTATTTGTTAAAGTTACTTTTTCAAGAGTTTTGTTTTGTCCTATTGAGAGAAATGTGTCATGTTTCTTTTATATTTGTGTAAAATTTAGTTTGCCAACCCAGATTTTATGGAATCCATCTCGGACGTTGTTGATGAAGTGATACAGAACTGTCCCATCGACGTGCGTCGCCCGCTGTATAAGGTATGAGCTGCCTGGGTGAGGTGCTTTGATTTCCTTCCGGAACCGAAGGCTCGGCCTTCTTAGAACAGGTTATTAACATCAACACGCAGACTGTCCTACTTCTCCTCCTGTTTCGTAGGGTTTGTTAAGGGCTGGTGTAAGGGTAAAATATATTTCTTTTCTTGGGGTGCAGATGACTTAAATGTTTGGAAAGTAGAAATATTTAATTTAAATATTCTAGTATCTTTTATTCTTATCTGGCAAGCTGTATTTTAAATTGAACAATTTTAACCATGTGTATTGACTGAAATATCAAAGTGATACTTCCCCTCATGCTGTCCATGAATTCCACTGGTCTTGTTGCATGCGTGTTTAGGTTCAGGGCCAAATGTGTTGTTGCCAGAAAGGAATTAGAGCCTGAAATGAAACAATCAAATAGAAAATGCTCATGTGATTTTTTTTCCAGAATTCTTTGATTGCAGGGAATTTTGAAACTTGAAATGAGAAAAAGCTAGTCCATGTAATTATAGGATAAAAGGAAGTATTGCTGGCAGCCAAATATTGAGTGTAGAAGGTGATGGTCAGTTAGCCTTCCTTCATCTTTTATTAAGCTCTGCTTGCATGAATCATGCTATCCGCTCTCAGCCTCGTGACTTCTTCTTACCTTACTCAAACTTAGGTAGCGAATTTTAGAGAGAGAGAATCAGGCTCAGTAAAGAGAGCTTAATAAATTTTGTTTCATGTATGCAATGGCATACTGTGGCAGCCTTTAAAAAGAATAAGGTAAGTCAATGTAAATTCAAATGAAAAGCTGTCTATAGTATATATTGTTAAGTGAAAAAGCAAGTTGTAAAATTTACACAGTATTATTTCGTTTTATGTAAAAATATAGTTTGTGTATATAGATAAGAAAAGATTTTGAATGATGTGTGCTAAAGTCTTAAATAAAATATGTTTGGGAGTGGGAGATGGGTAACTTTTACTTTCTACTTTTTGTGTTTTAAAATTGCTTGAGATTTTATAGTTAAATGTTATTTTTATTATTGGAAAAAATTTTCATATATAGACAACTTTTTATGGATGAAAACAAATTATAATTATATTTTTATTTGTTGCATATCCTTAATTAAACACCTCTGTCCTCCAATAAAATGTGCAAGAAGGGGAAACTAAAGGCAGGCTGGAGTATTAAAGTTTAGCAAAATAGCATGTCTTGGGGCCGGTCTGGTGGCACAGCGGTTAAGTGCGCGAGCTCTGCTTTGGCAGCCCAGGGTTCGCAGGTTTGGATCCCGGGGTGCACCGATGCACCACTTGTCAGGCCATGATGTGGTGGCGTCCCATATAAAGTGGAGGAAGATGTGCGCAGATGTTAGCCCAGGGCCAGTCTTCCTCAGCAAAAAGAGGAGGATTGGCATGGATGTTAGCTTAGGGCCGAGCTTCCCCCCCACCCCACGTCTTGTTCTCCACGTTTCTCACTTAACATTAGCTATGTCTTCTTGTCCGTGAAAGCAGGGGGCAAGTGTACACTGTTTAGTTTTCATTCCATCATAATGGACACAGAACTTGTGCAAGCGGTTACAGATCGCTTGTGATGGGGTGATGGGACAGTTTAGTTCACTTTCAGTAGATTCATAGGATTCTTGAAGTAGGAATGGCCTTGGAGATCGTGTAGCTGATGACACTGAGCCCCAGAGATGGGAAAAGGAGGCAAAACTAGAGGTACCTGGGTGAGGTGGAGCAGATTGGTCTTGGACTTTTCTTTCTGGTCCTGCACTCTCTCTCGTCACAGGACAAATTCCCTAACCCCATCGCTTTGGACTGGTAAGATTGGACAAGCCAGCACAATCTCTGCTGCTTAGGAAGGTGAGACTGCCTTTCCTTTTACTGTTGCTTGTGCAGGGTCCCCTGAAAGATGCGGCCTCTCGTCTCTTCCACTCCTTCCTGTCTGACTGGAAATTCCACTGCGATGCCATTTTCAGTCTTGGAATTATTAAATTATTAATAACACTATGCTAAGTACAAAACAAAACAATATATACTAACCCTGAACTCAAGGAAGCTTTATAAACTAGTGAGACGAGGCAAGCAAATGAGAGAAATGTGTGACACTGTGTGGAAACTGCACTCACATGGGATTCACTGTGTCTAATGTAGGAGTGGTAGTGAGTCAGATGAGGCCGGGGTTGTATATCGGGTTTGATACCTAAACCTGGGAAAGAGTCGTCAGAGACAAGAGGGATTAAAAGTGGGGCGAGAATATGACTTATAAAGTAGAGGAGAGAAAAATGAGTTTTTGGGGCCTGGGAATGAGCAAGTCTTATGCAGAGGCTGCTGTGGTGCCGTTGCTTTACCTGAGTGGATCTCCCTCATCACCACTCTTGGCAGATCTAGCCTCAAATTCCCATCTACTTTCTAGACACTTCCAGGTGACTGCCTTAGCCACCACAAAAGCTATACAGGCATACCTTGTTTTATCGCACTTTGCAGGTACTGTGTTTTTTTTACAAATTGCAGGTTTGTGGCAACCCTGCATCGAGCAAGTCTATCGGCACCATTTTTCCAACAGCATTTGCTCACTTCCTGTTCTGTGTCGCATTTTGGTAATTCTCATGGTATTTCAAACTTTTCCATTATTATTATGTTTGTTATGGTGATCTGTGGTCAGTGATCTTTGATGTTATTGTTGTCATCGTTTTGGGGTGCCACAAACTGCACCCATATAAGACTGTGAACTTAATAAATGTTGTGTGTGTTCTGACTGCTGCACTGTTCCCCCATCTCTCTCCCTCTCCTGGGCCTCCCTATTCCCTGAGACACAACAACATTGAAATTAGGCCAATTAATAACCCTACAGTGGCCTCTAAGTGTTCGAGTGAAAGGAAGAGTTGCACATCTCTCATTTTAAATTAAAAGCTAGAAACAATTAAGCTTAGTGAGGAAGGCATGTTGAAAGCCGAGATAGGACAAAAGCTAGGCCTCTTGTACCAAACAGTTAGCCAAGCTGTGAATACAAAGGAAGAGTTCTTGAAGGAAATTAAAAGAGCTACTCCAGTGAACACATGAATGATAAGAAAGCGAAACAGCCTTATTGCTGGTAGGGAGCAAGTTTTAGTGGTCTGGACAGAAGATCTAACCAGCCACAACATTGCCGTAAGCCAAAGCCTAATCCAGATCCAGGCCCTATCTCTTCAATTCTATGAAGCTGAGAGAGGTGAGGAAGCTGCAGAAGAAAAGTCTGAAGCCAGCAGAGGTTGCTTCATGAGGTTTAAGGAAAGAAGCCGTCTCCATAACATAAAAGTGCAAGGTGAAGCAGCAAGTGCTGATGTGGAAGCTACAGCAAGTTATCCAGAAGATCTAGCTAAGATCATTAGTGAAGGTGGCTACACTAAACAGCAGAGTTTCAATGTAGATGAAACAGCCTTATATTGGAAGAAGATGCCATCTAGGACTTTCATAGCTGGAGAGAAGTCAATGCATGGCTTCAAAGCTTCAAAGGACAGGCTGACTCTCTTGTTAGGGGCTAATGCAGCTGGTGACTCTTTAAGATGAAACCAGTGCTCTTTTACCATTCTGAAAATCCTAGGGCCCTTAAGAATTATGCTAAATCTACTCTGCCTGTGCTTTATGAATGGAACAGCAAAGCTTGGATGAGAGCACATCTGTTTCACAACATGGTTTACTGAATATTTTAAGCCCACTGTTGAGAATTACTGCTCAGAAAAGAAGATTCCTTTCAAAATATTATTGCTCATTGACAATGCACCTGGTCAACCAAGAGCTCTGATGGAGGTTTACAATGAGATGAGTGTTGTTTCCATGCCCGCTAACACAACATCCATTCTGCAGCCCATGGATCAAGAAGTAATTTCAACTTTGAAGTCTTATTATTTAAGAAATGCATTTTGTAAGGCTGTAGCTGCCATAGATAGTGATTCCTCTGATAGATTTGGGCAAAGTAAATTGAAAACCTGGAAAGGATTCGCCATTCTAGATGCCATTAAGAACATTTGTGATTCATGGGAAGAGGTCAAAATATCAACATTAACAGGAGTTTGGAAGAAGTTGATTCTAAACCTCACGGAGGCCTTTGAGGGGCTGCAGGCTTCAGAGGAGGAAGTAACTGCAGATGTGGTGGAAACAGCAAGAAAACTAGAATTACAAGTGGAGCCTGAAGATGTGACTGAAGTGCTGCAATCTCATGATAAAATTTTAACAAATGAGGAGTTGCTTCTTATGGATGAGCAGAGAAAGTGGTTTCTTGAGATGGAATGTACTCCTGGTGAAGATGCTGTGAAGACTGTTGCAATGACAGCAAAGGATTTAGAGGGTTACATAAACTTGTTGATAAAACAGCAGCAGGGTGTGAGAGGATTCACTCCAATTCTGAAGGAAGTTCTACTGTGGGTAAAATGCTGTCTGATAGCGTCACATGCCACAGAGAAATCGTTCATGAAAGGGAGAGTCAATCAATGCGGCAGACTTCATTGCTGTCTTCATAAGAAATTGCCACAGACTCCCCAGCCTTCAGCAACCACCAGCCTGATCAGTCAGCAACCATCAACATTGAGGCAAGACCCTCGACCAGCAAAAAGATTACAAGTTGCTGAAGGCTCAGGTGATGGTTAGCATTTTTTATCAGTGAAGTGTTTTTTATTTATTTTTATTTTTTTATTTTTTACCTTTTTTTTTTTTTTTTTGAGGAAGACCAGCCCTGAGCTAACAACCGATGCCAATCCTCCTCTTTTTTTTTTTTTTTTTTTTTGCTGAGGAAGAGTGGCCCTGGGCTAACATCTGTGCCCAGCTTCCTCTACTTTATATGGGATGCCGCCACAGCATGGCTTAACAAGTGGTGTGTCGGTGCACGCCCAGGATCCGAACCTGCGACCCCGGGCCACCGCAGCACCCAACTGCTTGCGCCACCGGGCCAGCCCCTGAAGTGTTTTTTAGACATGATGGTATTGCACACTTAATAGACTACAGTGTAGTGTAAAAATAACTTTTATATGCACTAGGAAACCAAAAAATTTGAGTGACTCACTTATGATTGCAACATTCGCTTTATTGTGGTGGTCTGGAACTGACCCTGTGATATCTCCGAGGTGTGCATGTTCCTACACAATCTCTGCTTGTTATTTTGTCTCTTAAATTCAGTGCTCTTCTCCCAGCCACCCTAACTAGAGATGTTCGGCTGTCTCGAAAGCAGCTGCACGGTGGTCAGATCTAGTGACCCTTACAGTGTGACCTCGTGTCTTGAGGTGACACGAGATAGTGGTTAAAAACATCGCTTCAAAGTCACTCTTCTAGTGGGGGTGTGGTAGAGAGTAGGAAAGAGGTGTTGGTCATCTGCTGTCCTGTCTTTGGAATAATTGTCTTGGGCACCAGTGGCTGTGTATGTCAGCAGATTCCCGTGGATTGTTGGCTAAAGGAGGTGAGAGCAGAGGTCCGGAGTGATGGGCGAAGAAGCCCCGATGAGAATGTGGTTTGGGTGAGGACCAGAAAAGGCAGCTCAACAAATACAGGGGCATTTAACACAATTAACTTCATTTCCCAGTATTTTTAAGTCTCAGGTTTCTATCAATTCTGTACTTAGGAAGTTGCAGAAAATGACTGAACTTCTAAATGTAGTTTTTTTAAATGATAGAAAATTTCAGATTTGCTTTTTTGTGGTTAATTGCTCTCCAGATGCCTCATTATCATTGTTCAGAAACAGCCTGGAGTGTCTCCATTCTGAACAGATTTTCCTTGAAGAAGTCATGTTATTATTCGCAGACTTTTAGAAGATCCTTTAATAAACAGCTAGAATTTATTTATTGAGTGTTTGTATGTGTTGAGAACTGGATTAAGCACTTTCTTCACAACCGTCTTGTGAGGGAGTTGCTGTTTCTGTACCCATTTCACAGATGAAGCAGATGGACACTGGCCTGAGGCGCTCCAGTCAGCGCTGCTGTATCTCGGGAGGACTCTTGTGTGCAGGGACTTGGATAGGAGCTTAAAACACAGTGAGAGATGGTTCTTGTCTTCAAGAGCTTGTAAAAAAGCTAAAAATAATACCGAAATAATTCGAATGGGAACCACTACAAGCTAAATGTCATTACAGTGAATTATGCGTTATGGTAATCGAGAGAAGGGGCAGGTTGCGTTTAGTTAGAGGGCATCAGGAAAGGTTTTGAGAAGGTGGCATCTGAGCTGAGTCTGAGGGCTTGGCCAGTAGAGATGAGGTCTGGGAGACCAGCCAGGTAGAGGGAGCTTAATGAGCACAGGTAGAGGTGGCAGGGCAGATGTTTCAGAGTCTGGGTGGAGCCTGAGGTGGTGTGGAAGGTTGTGGGAACCAAATCCAGGAGGGAGGGTGGGGCCAGTGAGAAAATATTTTATACTCTGCTTTAGCAGTGGGTTGGGAGTTGTTAAAAATTCTTATTTGTTATGTTTGTCAAGCAGATGAGAATACATCTTGATATAGTTCAAGGATTGATTTTTCTGTAAGAAATTGCTTGAATTGGGTATATATATCATAATTATGTTAATGCTTTTTCAATCAGAAAAGCATATTGCAAAGTAATGAGTTATGTATGTTATTTTTTCTTAATGTTGATGAGTTCGAATATCTTTAATATTTGAGAGAGAAAAATACGTCTTTTAAGGTATCATTGGTTTTTTCAATCCTTTTCAAAATAGGCTTCTCATTCAGATGAAATCCTGATTGAAGCCAAATATGTGAGCAGATAAGAAGGTAACTGCTCTGTTTGGGGAGGGTAGTGGACAGAGAGGGTTCCAGAGCTCTGCTCACTCAGCCCCCACACTCGTTTCCCCGGTAACTCTCAACTGGTGCTTCCTGCTGATGGATCCAGAAATGGCCCTATTTTTGTGTTCTTGGGGAGGGGAGAGTGATGCTGACAACTGAACGCTGACTTGCCAGGTTGAGAAGAACTTTCCAGACTTACTTGTCATTGGTTGTGACATCCCTGTGATCAGGCCGCTGTTGAGAGCTGCCCCCATCCGAGATCCTCGGATTTCCTCTGGGTTGCTGTGGGGTGTCACACAGCCCACAGTGTAGAAATAGGTTTGCTCAGGCCCTGCTGGGGTTGCAGGCTTTTGGTTAGTTTGAGGGTAAAAAGCTCCTGTCCCTAAAAAGGGATAGCCTTTCAAGAATAGAGTGTAGAGAGAGTTACAGGAGCTTCTGATGGAGTTGCCTTCGCCTGTAGTGAGCGTCAGGTGGAGACTTCTCTGTGAGCACGTGACATCGCGCCTGCATCTAGCTGCGTCTAGCTACAGGCGCACAGGAGGGTGGGCAGGGGGCCCCGTGCGTCTGTCAGGCTGGATTCAGAGTAAGAATAGAGCCTCTAGCACAAAATACACTTAGCATTAAGAAATGGGAATTTTTTGTTATTTTTAATACCATATTAGGTATTAGTTAAATGAACTTACTATAGCCCTTATTTTAAGTCTTTCTGACTTAAATTTCAGGTAACTAACAGGTCGTGTGTAGTGTTTATAATGTTATGTGCTACAATATTCTTTACTAGCATAAAGACAGGGCCTCTCCGTTTGTAGAGGTAATTTACAGTTGAGACTTTTACTTGACATCATGAAATAAACACTTGTGACGCAAAGTGAGGTCCTATTGTAATTGGTGAGGGCGACTGAGAAGTCCAGTCGACACTGTACACTTGATAGACAGGTGGGGCAGTGTGCTGAGTGCAAGTGTGCTTGCAAACAGGGATCCGCAGCCTTTCTGCAGGTTGGAAGACTGCGTGGGAGAGAGAGTTTTAGTACAGAAAGTTTAGACGCTACAGATGAGCAAAGATTATTATTTCCAACGTAAAGTGTATTCAGAAAATTTGAGAAGTACCAGAATCTTTAATGAAGAAAACAGAAGTCACTCCTCTGTAATCACTGCTCATCAGTTATGACTTTGACTATCTTTCTCTTTGTTTTTTTGAAATATAAATAGGTAGATATATCATGCTATATTTATATTTCATATCCTGTATATTAGCATTGTGTCGTGAACAGCTTCTTAGGTAATTAACATTCTTCAAAAACATTCTTATTTATTTATTTATTTTGCTTGAGGAAGATTCTCTCTGAGCTAACATCTGTGCCAGTCTTCCTCTGTTTTGTATGTGAGCTGCTGCCACAGCGTGGCTGCCGCCGAGTGGTGTAGGTCCGCACCCGGGATCTGAACGTGGGCCACCACAGCGGAGCGTGCTGAACCTAACCACTAGGCCATGGGGCTGGCCCCAGAAACATTCTTTTTAATGAGATCTAATGCTCCATCCTATGTCTGTTTCAGTATCCAACTCTTCTCCTACATTTAGATTTTTGATACTTTTCTAGCTTAGGTCAAGATTTCTTTCTTCCCCAGGGTGTACTCTGTCACCCATGGCAGTGTGTATTTAGTGATGCTTTTTGGGTCGGCTGGTTCTGATTTGAGAATTTGCTGACCGACTGGAGCAGATGCTCTCTGGCTGAAGTGCTCACCTGGGTCGATAGGTCTTGGAGCACTTTTGGTTCAGAATCCTCAGTGGGCTTGCCAGAGGAATAATGTTGGGTACTAGGAAAATGTCTTTCCAGAGAATTGCTGACTGCTGGAACCCTAACCCCCAAATTGACTGACTGCTTCCATTCTGTGTGATAAGGAATCACTTGGTCTGTTTTCTGAAGTAAACTGCCCTTAGAGTGAATCACATTGAATTTTGGCTTTTGTTTAAAGTTTTTCAAGAAGTATTATTTTTGTATCATAACGCTTAAGAGTGTAGGCTCCAGAGCCAAATGGCAGACTTTTCCTATTGCCTGAGCCTCGTACCAGCATCGTGACTGTCTGTCAGAGCTTCGGCTTCCTCCGGTGTGAGGGGGCGTAATTACTGTAACTGTCTACAGAGTCGTTGTGGGGGTTCACTTAGATAATCCTTACAGAGGAGAAGGCGCAGTGCTGGTACGCAGGAAGTGCTAAGTAAAGATTGTTGTTATTTTATCGTATTCTGTGAATCCCGTGGCCACGAGCATGGGCTCTGGAGTCAGAGACATCTGCAGCTTACCAGCTGTGTGGCTTTGGGCCGGTTACTTAGTGCTGACTCTTGGCACTTTAATCAGTAGAATGGGATGATAACGTTGCTGGGAGGCGTAGTTGGGACAGTGGATATCCTAGCGTCATAACTGGCACTTGCTGAGTGTGTTGTTACTGTTATTACTATTGATAGTGGGACAGACCAGGGATTTGAAATGACATAGTATCAGTTTAGTTTAGGTTTAATTCAGAGAAAATGCTACCGTTTTATTTTATTTTATTTTATTCCAATCAAGTAGTTGTATGAGATAAGCATTTTTGTTATTTGAATTGATTCAATTAAGGGAAGAGAGGAGTTTTGTTCTCTGATTTAGTAAATGAGTAATCAGATCTGATATGACTCTCAGCAGATTAGTGCATAGGAGTTTTTCCTTCTTATTACACGACCCTAATAAACACTATGCATTTTGAAAATATAGAGGAGAGAGACTCCCCCCCACCAGCTGAACTTGGCTTATTGGAGTCCAAGGCAGAAGTAGAGGCTTTTGCTGGGTGGAGGGAAGGGTTGTTGAGGCAAGAGAAGGGCCTGAGCACAGACACTTAGGTGGGGTGAGGGTGGCGTCCGCGCGGGCACTGCAAGGTCCTCAGTTCATTTACTCATCGAACAGTGTTTATGGGGAACCTGCTGTGTGCTGGTTGTTGTTCTGGGCACTGTGGGATCAGCTTGAGCAAAACAGGAAAAATTCCTGCCGTCATGGGGATTATACTCTTGTGGGGCCAATAGACAAAAATAAACGAATGAGTAAAATACATAGTACAGGGAGGAAGGCTGCCAGGAAAAGGAGAAAGGGAGGGCTGGGGTTTGGGAGCGTGGGGAGCCTCAGTTTCCCCTAGGTGGTAGGTGACATTTGAGCGAAGGCTTGAGGGGGGTGAGGGAGGAAGCCATGCAGGTGTCGGGGAGAGAGCAGTCCACACAGCATCTGGGCAGAAGCCTCAGCCGGCACAGAGGCCCTGAGGCGGGGGCAGGCCTGTGTGTTCTGGAAAGAGCAAGGGGACAGTGTGAGTGGAGTGGAATTCCCAGGTGGAGATGGGAAGGAGGTGAGGTTGGGAGGAGGCAGAGAGGGCCTTGTAAGTGCCTCCACCCTAGGAGGGGCGTGGCTGCCACAGTCTAAATCCGAGGTTGGAGGGCCAGATGGTAAATATTGTCGACTTGCTGAACAGGGCTGTCTTCAAATAAAACTA